ACACTAAATTTATCAAAATCCACCATCCATGAGCAATTAGTGAAGCTTGGGTACTCAAATCACTATAATGTTTGGGTACCACATGATGTGACTGAAAAGAATCTTTTGGATTGTATTTTATCTCTGATTTGCTGTATAAATGCAACGAAAATGAACCGTTTTTGAAGCAAGTTTTGACAGATGAGAAATGGATCATTTACAACAATGTTCAGTGAAAAAGATCCTAGGGTAAGTGACATGAGCCAATTTTAGCCATCTCAAAAGCAGGTTTTCATCCCCCCCAAAAAGGTAGGCTGGACATCTGGTAGGATTGGAAAGGAATCCTGTACTATGAGCTTCTGCCAAATAACCAGTCAATTGATTTTGGAAAGTACTGCTTGCAACTGGATGAATTAAAGGCAGCAATTCATAAAAAAAATATGCCAAGAATTGGTAAACAGGAAAGGTGTTGTTTTCTATCAGGATAATGCCAAACCTCATGTTTCTTTGGTGACCCAGTAAAAATTGTTGCAGCTTGGACGGAATGTGTTACCCCACCCACCATATTCACCAGACATTGCTCCTTCGGATTTTCATTTATTCAGGTCCTTGCAAAATAATCTCAATGGTAAAAATTTTAATTCTTTGGTCAACATAAAAAAAAACACCTTAATGAATTCTTTGCCAAGAAACCATCAAAATTCTGAGAAGATGGAATCTTTAAGTTGAAGGAAAAATGGAGAAATGTCGTGCAACAAAATAGTTCATATTTAGTTGAAAAATATTTAATGGCATAATTTTGTTTTGTGTTTTAAATTTCCCTTAAAAATCAGCATAAACTTTCCAGACAACCCAATACAAAGACAATATTTATAAAGTTCAAAAGAATTTGAGTGCAGCCCTGTAAGTTATAACCAGTACAGTACAGATGAAGTAAACACCAATTTGTCGGCAAGTAAATTCAAATAGCTTCATATTAATGATACTCTCAGTGGAATTTTTAATCATTCCTTGGACTTAATAGTAATATTCAGTTGCTTTCCTGACAGCAAAATGAACAAATTTCAAATCTAAATTGTAGTATTTTAAATGAACAATTGGAAAATATATTCAGTTTAAATACATTTCAGCTTATACTCTTTTCTTGTTAGCCAGAGATTAGTCCTTGCCAATATAGATATCCATTTCAGCTTCATTCAAATTGGGTGTATGTACATTTGCATGCACACACACACACACACATCTTAATTTAATGACAGATGTAAAAATATTTCTACAATTTAAAAGAAAAAGACTTTAATCAAAATAATTTTTATTTATTACTGAATAATTTCTGAAAAGTCATAAATCTTATCTGATTTTTTTTAGAGTTGAGAAATTTAACTGTTTTCCTTGACAAGAAATTAGTCATATCATTTTTTCCTCTCATTCCACTTGTGCCATTTTCATCTGAATTCATTTTTTGAGGCCAATATTTTTTTTAATTTAACAATTCACTTTATAGTCATAAGTAATAAACTGGACATTTACTTTGTAGTCACCTCAATGCTGTCAGGTTCTAGGTACCAATAGTTATGAATAGACTGATATTGATATAAGATAAATAGACCAATATCAATAAACAGAAACAATGAAATAAATATCGATAAGATACTAAAGCTCTCTCATTGTAGGTAAGAGAAAGAAAAGTTGTTTATTTTATTTTCAGTCATACATACATATAATCAGAGAGAATTTGACAGAAATTAAGCTGTTTAGTTTATTTAGTATTATTATTATAATTATTATTTTTGTTTCCAACTTTATGATTTTATTGATCATCCAGGATAGAAGTTATCCAGACTGAATGGGAGACAGAATATATTATTCTAATGTTTTATTTAAAACTCTATCAAATTGTTTGTGTACACACACACACACACACACACACACACACACACACATTAAATGACACAAGCACATGTAAAACATAGACATGATATATACATGCATACAAAGTCAGTGATGTACAGAGTATCAGCTTTTCTTTTATAATATAGATGAATAGTGGTGTTGGGCTCAGTGAGTTATCTAAGGAAGCATTGGAAGATAATAAGTTTGTTCTGAAACAAAATAGTTGAAAGTCTTCATCAAGTGATCAATTGATAGATGTGGTGGGTGAGATGTCTCCTTGAAAGAAATGATCCTTACATATTTTAATGGAAGATGTTTTCTCACAAAAAACAGAAAAGTTTCACAATATGTGTTTCAAAAAATATTCCATGAAATACCATAAATCAAACAACCTTGGATGATTATGATGAACTTGTAAATAATATTTTCATTGTAAATGTACATTTTTCTGCTTCCTGGCATTACCTGAATAACATTGTGGTGGGTTAGATATGCTAAACAGAATTATTCAGCATTTTAGGCATGAGTTTCATTGTCATGCACTGTCTTGCTTCTTGAACAGGTCTTTTTTCTTGTTTTTTTTTTTTTTGTCCATCTGATGGTACTAATAAATACACATTTTCTGAAACATAAAACTTGGTCCGAGGACTGTAAAAAAAAAAAAAAGGGAAATTGACATTTCGAATTTATTTGAAAGAATTTCAAATTATTTTCTTTCCCATTAATCATCGTGGAGGATTTTACTTCAAAAATACAGACTTTCTTAAGATTATTAACAATGCATCAACAAGGAAATGGGTCAGAACACATCATTTTAACAAAAAAAATTTTTTTATCATTGACTGTTAGCATAAAAAAATAATATGCTTCTTAAAAGACTTTCAAAATTATTGTAGCATGCATTTTACTTGAAATATGATTGAATGTGACTATGACCACCAATTCTTACTATGAAATAAAAAGTGCAGTTCAATAATTCTAAAGGGGCTACTGAGTATCATAAACACCTGATAAAAGCTGGAGGATACAATGGTTGAAATATTTTGAGTATAGCAATCAAGATTAGCATACCAATCCAAGTAGAAATGCATACAAGATCCTAAAATTTTTGAAATACCAGAATTAGTGTAGCTATATAGCATACAAGAAAGCTTATGTGATACAGACTTCAATACAAAATAGTTCTACACCCTGAAGTGTTTTCTGTACCATTCAACCAATATGAATGTAAAGCAGAAGTTGAAATATACAGAAAAGCTTAAAATTTAAAAAAAATAATTTCCTTGTAACTTTAAAAATGTCAGAGCATTACTTTTCAAAATGAAGTTTTGCTTCTTAAGTGAAATTCTTTAGCACATAATAGTCTTGTATATTGATGCATTTACTTCAAACCAGGCAAACAGATCAATAACTAGACATAAATCAGAACACTAAGCACTGATTATAAGAGGAAACTTGAGGAAAAGTTTACATTCCACAATTAAGCCAGATTAATTGATGCCACCAAATAGTAATTAACAAGGTGTTGATAATTCAATATTTTCAAACTGATTGCAATCATAAAAAACTGGATTTCATTTTCTATTCACTAAATATTAATTCTAAAATAATGTTAAAATATAAACCACTATTTTCTATTTCTTTTTTGCAGAATAGTGACAAATTTGTTATTTCATAACCATAAGAAGTTTAAGAAACAAACCATAGATTAATATAAACTAAAATAAATTTGTACCAATATGAAATTTACCAATGAATAGACAATTGTTCTTCTTGTCCTCTGAAGAAAGGCTTATTCCTAGAAAAATAATCAGCCCTTTGTATCCACAGATTCGACCAAATGCAAATAGAAAGTATTAAAAAAAAAAAACAAAAGAAAAACACACACAACTTGAATTTTTGCATCAAGTACTATACTGAATCCACACAAATGAAGTGAGGTGTCAACATGCCCTGTTGTAACTTGCAAACATTTCACCAAGTCTCAGTTTCTCTCCAACACATTGTTTGAGCACACCTTTATCTTTATTTTTTTCTCCAAAATATGGCGTGGAAAATCTTTAAAATTTAGTCCTTAATGTACCAAAGGATTTATTAAAATCTGATAATTAGTTCATTTTTGTAGATTTTTAAGATTGAGGTGTCTTTTTTCTTTCTTTTTTTTTTTTTAAAAACAACAAACCAAAAATTGTTTTTGCAAATTATTATAATTTTTCTTTTTGTTTACAGGTAAAAGTTTTCACATTATCACTTTTCACAATTGTCTTTGGTCTTGTAGAGTATACATAAATTTTTATATAAAATTTATCTTGAAACCTTCTTCTGATTCATGATACAAGGAATTTGACAATAAAATTTACTTTTATACCAGTTTTTCTTTTTTTTTGTCCCCTCCTTCTTTTTTCACTCAGATTTTATTCATCAGTGTAAGAAGTGCTTCAGTTTTGTCTATATTTGTGTGTGTGTTAACTTTATTAAAAGCTCACCACTATGAGAAGTAAGAATTTTATTTTAAGAAAATAATTGTTTTTAATAAAATTTTAACTTATCATCCTTAAAAACTTAACCATTTGTCCGAAACTAATGTTCTGTTGTCCTTGAGATGATATTAATCTCAAGCCTTGACAAAGGTATAAATTGCCCTACTCCAGGTAGGAGCAAAATAATAAAATAAATTAGTCTCTTTATGCTTAGTAAGGCAACTAGTCTGGGAGAAGGTAAGATATATTTTTCTCTGTAATGTCTGTAAATTTTTTCTGTACTGGAGTTATCTCCCTTGCGTTGGTGATGACTGGAGGCAGTGTCTTCACTATAACAGTTGCAAACTGTTCAAAGATGTTTATAAAGCTAGGAGATGAAACAACTATGAAAGAATAGAGCACAATAATAATTTGAAAAAATATATTTCAAAACATACATGTGAAAACTTAATAGTAAGGAGTTAACAAAATATGCTATCACATTTTATAGCATGGGTGAAATAACATTTCCTTGAGAAAGAAATATGTTCATATAGAGAACAACGATTGAAAATAGAGCATCATGAGAAACAAACATTTCATGAATGCATAGATAATAGAACAAGTGATAAAATGGCAATGCATAAATTTAAGATGTGGGGCACCTACCTTGAGAGGTTGTCAGGTGGGCACAAAATGGTCTTGAATCAAAGACACTTGAAACAGTCGCATTACATGAAGAAATTGCAGATGGTGATGTTGTAAAGTAACTGTGCAGACTAGTTGATAACTGGGACACAGAAGAAGAACATGTAATTTGTGTAGAAGGGACATTTGGGACAAGGACTTTAGTTATATTAGGCGAGGGGGGTAACTGGGAAGAGGCAGTGCTTACAGCATTAGCAGCAGGCACTGTATTACTACTGCTGCTAGCTGTAGTTGTAGTCCAACTGGACAGGACCAATTGGCCCTTGGTTGTTGCAGAAGTGCACAGTTCTCGTCCAGCAGCAGATGATGGCACCTGGGTAGATGATGATTGCTGCACCTGTCGGGTGCCAATTAAGCCTGTTGACAGGCTATTGCTTTGCAATGCAGTGGAAATTTGGGAGTTACCAATTTGCTGAAGTTGTTGCTGCTGCAGGGTGCTTGATATGCTACTTCCAGGAAATGTATAATTAGAGGTGCTAATCTTTGCACCATCTGAATGTTCATGCATTACATACAAAGTATTATCAAAAAGCTTACTGTTATCATCTTTACAGTTTGATTTCAATGTTGATTTCAATATCTCACTGTCCCCAGATTCCGATGGAGTGTCATCTGAAGGCTCTGACACACTGCCTAAGCCAGAGTCATGGCTCAGAGACATTACATTTTTCACATTAGTGTTCATATCTGGAAATGGGTTGGAGACAATCGGCACTGATCCAGTAATGCTACTTTGGTTTGAGTTCTCAGACTCTGCATCCGATAAGGATGCCATTTTGTTGCTCTCAGGGCTCTCGAGGATCTGATTCAATTCAGTCATTGCAGCATCACGCTGACTAACCACACTGTTGTTGTCACTGCTAGTGAGGCGATCTTGCTTCTCCACACCAGCAAATTTGCCCTGAGATGAAGCCTTGGCAGCATTTTGCTGAATCATAGCTGACACAGGTGTCGCACTGCTGCTGATACCAGCACCTGAAGGATTGCCTTTGTCAGAGAAATTCTTGTAGAATGGAACATTGTGTTTATCCGAACCCCAAGTAGTGCTGTGTCGTTCTGCCTTGCTGGTCTTAGAGGCATTGTTAGCACAAGATTTCCTCTGCTTCCGGCCACCAGAACTTTGCCCAGCAATGCTCTTCTTGGTAACAAGTTGACTAGTTTCAGGCTTGTCAGCTTGTGACATGTTGGACGTCTTGCTGATGACCATTTCACCTCCAGACATATGATGTGGTGCTGAAGTATTTGGCACCAACTTGCTTTCCGGAGCAAAAAGCTTGTTTAAATCCTTTGTATAACTAGAATGAAATGCTGCCACAGCAGAGTTTGATACATTTTGGCAGGGTTTGGAGGGTGCAAATAAGTTTTGTCCATTTAATCCAACTGAAGGAGACATTTGCTCTTTAGAGTTGCCTTGTTGTACGTGACTACAGCCAGTTGATTTTATAAGAGTGATATTATTGTGATGTCCAAGACTATCACAGATATAGGCATTCTTATTAGGTAAAGAGTTTGGACAGGGGGACGAGGTCTTTGGACTACCACTTTCAGACTCTTGGCTATTGACAGGCAACTTAGTCTTCATCCCACCAAACAATTCCCCTGAAATCAACTGGTTTTCAAATATTGGATTAACATGCTGCAGGCTTTCAGATCTTGAAGGGCTTCCCTCATCAACTGGCTCCAAATGACCAGTATGAGGATTGATAAGTTTCCCTCCTCCGCTGGATTCTTTTGATAATGCAGTTGAGATCTGTACAGGCTTTCCTATAGAAGACTGTTGAATATTTGTTGTAACATTACTTTTCCTATGATCTACAAGAACATTTTCTTTTACCAGTAATGATTCTGGATTTTGAGATTTTGCAGAAACAGTACTACTAGCCTTAGGGTTGAATGCCGTATTCGGGCAGGTGACATTGGGCGCAGACAATATGCTGGGATTGACTGCTGAAGTAGATAGAGTGTTCGTACTACTAGTAACAATAGTGGTAGATATATTGTACATGGTGAAAGCAGGACTGGGTATATTCTGAGCAGAATGCTCGTCCACAGTACCAGTTACTGTAGCCCCTGAATTCTTGGTCTCTTTCACTTTTCTTTGCCGCCGTTTACGTTTAGGCGGACTTGCATCTGGAGGGGGAAGCATTTTGCTAGAAGTAAGGTTGTTGAAGGGCACTGATGTAGCATCTGTCTGGAGCAAGTTTACCAGAAGAGGACTGGAAGATGTGACAGGCTTGCACATGCGAGGCACATTGTTCACAGTCGTCGTCGTCGTCGTCGCCGCTGTTGTATGAGGGTAAGGAGGAGGAGGTGGTAGGCTAACAGGACTCACACTGGCTCGTGTGGTAGCTGATGCATGAGGAAGATTTGGAGGGGAAGGGAATTTCAGTCCAGGCTGGCTAATTGGACTGCGGCTAGTGCCAGGGCCAGACAGCAATCCCTGGCTCTGAGATGCTGGATATCCAGTGGGGCTCCGCCCAGGTGGCAATGCAGAAGTAGTAGTTGTCGTAGAGCAACGAGAGAAGGGTACTGTGTTGATTACGCTGTTCGGTCGAAACGGTATTGGTTCACATGATGATGCAACCACATTAGGGGATCTAAATACTTCACTTGCAGGAATAGAAGGATTCAATATAGAGTCTGCCAAGCCTGGACTAATAAATTTACTAACATCTTTTTTACTACTTGGTACTGGAGGCACGTTTCCACTACGTTCCTTACTTGCACCAAATTGAATTTGCTCATACAAGGGCGTAGACATAGTTGCACTGTGAGAAGAAGAGGTCTTGAACACCAACTCTGTCCGTTCATTGTTATGACCAGCTATGGTCAAAGATATCAACTGGTCACCTTCAATCTGCACAGCCAATACTCCTAATTCTCGCAATGCCACATGTCCTTGCTGAGCCAGCTGTTTCAAACGAATAGCTGCGTCTCGTGGAATATTGAACGTAACTCGGACACTATTCCATGGTTCCACTTTTTTCAGTACGAGCTTTTGCTTGTCTGAAAAGAAAAACAAAAAACAAAATTAAGCAATTTTTTTATAATGAAAGAAAACAATACTTCTTTGAATGAGTAAAGAAAAAAAATAAAATTCTTTTAGCCATTCAATACAAAGTGCATTAGATATTTAGAGTTCAATTTATAGTTCTTTTGTGATAAATAACACAAAATTGTAAACAGTAACAAGATTTCATAAAATGTATTTCTATCAATTAAAAATGGTTGTTTATGCTAGACATTTCACATGAAAAGGTTTCAATCTGATTTTTGGTTGAACATGTAAAAGTTTAATCTGAAGTTGCAATGGCTTCAAAAAGCTGATCATACATGAATTTGCAATTCTAAGATACAGAAATGAGTAAATTATAAATTACAAAACTGAAAAAGAAAACAACCTTGCCTTTCAGTTTTAAAATATTTTAATGAAGTATTTGCCTAAGTATTTGCAAACATGCAGATAATATTACTATATTCTAAGAGACCTTCATTTTATTAGTCTTTACTACAGGAATACTTTTTTCATATCAGTTACAATAGCATGAAAAATTTATACCACAATTCTTATAACCAATATTATTGCAATATTTGGTATTTAACGTGCATTTCCAGGGGATGGTAATGAGCCAGCATAGAATCTTCTCACACACACACACACACACACACAGTGAAATTTTATTGATTAATTATTATTGAAATTATCATCTGGAATATCTTTGATTGGCTTCCCACTTAGAACTGAGTCTCTATTGAGTGATATGCATAATAATGTCCATGGTTTCTGCTATCACCTCTAAACTGGATCCTCACAAAGCATGTGAACTTGATATCCCTGCAATAGTCCTTAAGAAATGTGCTCTTGTTCTCTCTAAACCTGTTGAAAATTCTCTTGTGTAGTTCCAGTCTAAGAACTCAGGCCAACAGGTCTGATCCTTCTCTCAGCCTATTAGCCTTCTCCCACTTTTTGGCAAAATACTAGAGGCTCTAAACAAATCTGAATTCATTAAACATCTCACCTCACAGAGTATTCTTTCAGATAAGCAATATGGCTTTTGCTTGTCTAGGTCAACTGCTGATGTATGAACAATTATTGCTGAAAGAGTTTATCATGCTTTAGATAAGAATAGTGAAGCTCAGGCAGTTGTTTTGGACACATCTCAAAAGCATTTGACTGGGTTTGGCATGCTAGTCTTGTTCACAAATTAAAAGGTTATGGTATTTCTAGACAAATTTTTGAACTGATCCAACCGTAACAAATTGTGAAATGAAAGCTGTCTTGAATGGCCACTCATTCTACATCATTTTGCATTTATTATTATTATAATTATCATCTGGAGTATCTTTGACTGGCTTTTCACTTAGAAAAGAGTCTCTATTGAGTCTCATTGTTCCTAATTTTCATCAACAATCTTCCTAATGGCATCAGTTTTCAACTCGGTATATATGCAGATAACAACTATTTACTCCTGTTTTAATACTAAGTCTGATCAATTCAATAAGGTCAAATTGGTAGCTGATCTAAAAAAAATGACCTACAATTTGTTATTAACTGAGACATGAACTGGCTTGTTAATTTTAATGCCTCAAAAATGAAATGGCTCTCTTTTAATTGTCTGAGAGAACCCTCTTTGTCTTCAATCAGCATGGTTGATGCTAACCTCTAGAAGAGTGACTCACTGCACCGAAGTTAACATTTTCTGCTGACATGAAATGAAAAGATTATCTTGAATCAATTGCTATGTCTGCTGCTAAGAAAGTTGGTTCACTGTGTCATGATAGAAAATTTTCTCTCCAGAATCTATCTTACACATTTATAAGTCTACCATTCGTCCATGCTTTGAATATTGCTGCCTGCCACATCTGGTCTGGTGCTTCTGCTATGTATTTAGAGAAACTTGATAAAAATAAAAGAAGAATTTGGCATCTTGGCTTCAATTACTTTCCCACCACCGTAATGTAACTTTCTGTGGCTACTTTCATGGTAATTATTCTGATGAACTTTCCTCTATGGTACCTAGACTTTATGTATTTAAGCACAATACTAGATTAGTGCCAAGGTCTCATCATTTTACAGTTTAGCAGATATAACTGTAAATTTTATGCTAATGGTTTCTTCTATTGCACTTCTTGCTTATAGAACTCTTTTCCAGTTTCTTGCTTTCCAGTCAGGTTTGAGCTTCAAAAATTTAAATGCAATGTCAATCGTTATCTTGTTTTCTTAATTCCTGTTCTTTTGTCCTCTCTCCATAATAGTAATTTTCCCATATATTCTCGCACCCTTTAGTAAACCCTTACATCTTAGTGGTTTTATTGCCTTGCTTGGGGTAAAATGATTAAGAAAAAGAAAAAGTATAGCTCTGTCCTCAGATAATTTAAGGTAAAAAATAATAACAAAAAATGTAATAAACTAGGTTGAAACTTTCTTCTAACACATTTGTCCATTTGCATGCATTAAAAAAGTTAATTAGCAAAGAGAGAAAAAGCTACAAGAAAAAGAATCAGTTTTAACTATGTGTTTTTCATACATTGTCACTGGTAATGACAGAAATGACCATAATTCTTAAACAATATTGTTGAAAATTTTATCATAGCTTATTGTAAAATCAGTAACGGTTACATCTTTACTACATACGAATTTACAATCAAGTTCATAATTATGTAGAAGGTATATTTTAAGTAAGTACTTGTCATATTATAGGATTTTTTTATGGAGGAAGTAGTAGTTATTCTAGTCAGTATAATGCTGATGTTTGGGAGTAATTCAAGCTAGTTGGGATACAATTTAAATATAATTCACTGAGATTACAAGAGAATTCATCACTTAACCCCATGTACAAGATGAAGTTTATAATCTCCCAAAACTGAATAATAATTCATTTGGTATAGTATTTTGAAATCAAAATACTATTGAAATTTTTAGTAAATCAAAGTAAATAAAGACAATGAAAATTTAAAAACTAAATATTATTATTTAAAACAGGTGTGTCAAACTGACAGCCCACAGGTCACATGCGACATTTTACATGCATCTTGGCAACCCTCAAAAAGGGTTCTATAGCCGTGATATATCAAGAATTTTGTCTATGATGGTAATGCAAATTATTAAAAACAGTGAGATTTTCTTTCAATTGGTATGATTAGATTGTTTATTTTATCTCAATGGTTTTTTGTTTTCGAATGTCAGTGACTATTTTTAACTTTCGGTCAAACATGTGATCATCCTTGACAGCTAAATAAGAATAAATGTAAAGTGAAAACGTTCGTAATTTTGTAATATTTGCCTTAAAAATGTCAAATTATACCCCATCTCGTAAAAAGAGATAATTATCTGAAGGAGGACGTGTTGCAAGAAAAGTGAGAATTACAGTACTTTTGCAGTCCTGTTAATGGAAAGATAAACTATTTGATTTGCAACCACTGCATTGCAACACTAAAAGAATATAATGTGAAAAGACATTATGAAACAAAACATTGATCATATGATAAATATGAAGGGGATATGCATGTTTCAAAAGTGAAGGAATTTAAAGTTAACACAGCAACAGAGTTGCTTTACATAACTTCAAAAAGGCAATGTTAGTTTTGTTACTGCAAGCTTTGAACTCTGCAAAATGATCACCATCAGCAGAAAATCTTGTAGTGAAGGAGATAGCACAGCTCCCAGTTTTCATCAGGGCTTATGACAATTAATTTCAAATTTATGAAGAACTAACTGAACTGGTCCCAATGCATGATACTACAAGCCAGGACATTTTTGAGAAAGTTAAACAGCTTCTTCATGAATATGGCCTTGATTTTTTTCATACCTTCCTCAGAGATTTAAGAACTTCAGAAAGTTTGCCACAAAGATTATGGTGATGTTTGATTCCACATATGTCTGTGAGCAGTTATTTTCATTTATGAAAGCCACAAAAATGTCTCACACAACCAGATTAACTGATGAATATTTGTCATCTTTGATCAAAGTGGGATCTACAGACATTCCAACCTGATATATTGAGAACGGTTTTTCTAAAGCGATGTCAATCATCAGGACAACATAAAAATGATTAAATTGTACTACCTTGTATTGTAAGTATTTTGTATTTAAAGTTTAGTTACTACTAGCTGTGATTAATCTAAGACTGTAAGCAGGTGCGGCCCTCAAGGCTGAAGATATAGCCAATATGGCCCTCCATATGCCCCTAGTTTAACATGCCTTATATAAAATATATTTTATCAAATCACACAATTATCAGGTTGGTAAATCCTAGGAGTTCACTTTTTTACCAGTTTTTAATGCATAGGACATTTATTTAAATGGAATCTTTGGCCAGCTGATACCTTTTTATTAGTGGGTTAAACAAATATTATCATTATTTTTTATATAGATATTTTAACCATGTATTTTTCACTCTTCCAATTTCATCCCATGTAGCCTGTAGATTAGGTACCGCCACTAATTCACTTGTGTGGGAGTAGGGGGGGGTAGAAGAGGTGTTACTACAATGAAAAAAATGCCACAAACTTGGAAAAAAAAAAAAGTTTTATCAAAATTTTTGTTATTATTAAGAGGAAAGAGTGAAGTACTTTTTGTTTAATTATATTTTTTTATTCTTTTTAAAACCTTTGAAATTTTGATTAAAAATCTTGTTTTTCATGTGTCAGTAGATGGATTATAAATTAGCATAGGAAACTTTAGCATCTTTATTGTAGTGAAAGATACATTGATTTGGAAATTCTTGCAATAATCAAATAATTGTCAGATTTTAATGAAATTTTCACTTACTCACAAAAAAAATGTTTTTTTGTTTTTTTTTTAAGTAAAGCTTGGTAAAAATACTTTTCCTTTTTTTTATGCGTGTGTTACACCCCACTTACTTAATTTTATAAAAACATGAGAAATTCAACAAGATAATTTTTAATGACTATTAGTTAAAAGCAGAACTCCTTGGGGAATTTAAATCATTTTTTTTTAGGAGGGGGGGGTCCACCATCTTACCAAAAATCTGCTCTGAATTGTA